TGCCCTCCTAAAGAAAACTATATTTACAATTTTTAGAATGTCATTATTAATTATTCTTTGGATATTTGGAACTTTTTCAACATATAAGCCTTACTGCCTTCTGGTGATACGGCCCTGATGTGACCAGAGGCTCTTCGTTCTCGCATCTTGTTTCTTTCGCCTCGCAAAGAGCCTCTGGAACCAGAGTACACTTAAGTAACACACACACAGAGCAAATAATATAATGCTTTTAAGGCAGTGAATTGGTAGGGAAATCTTTCAATAATATCCTGTGATTATGGTAAACTATGTACCAATACCAGACAATATAAATCCCTGCCTGCTCAAATCCCAAAGTGTGGGGCAAAGCAGGGTCACCGAGACAAAACCAGATATTTACACACAGATATTTACAGATAGTGACAGTGCTGAGAAGTAAAAACTGCCTACTTCTGGGTTGGGGGAGGTAGTAATTAATTACATTGACTATAGTATTGTACACTAAATAGTTATGGGGTGCCATGGCTGCCAGTTCTGTTGTCTTTAAAAGAGTTAAAGGACTGCTAATTCTAAACTGCAGTGATTCAAAACATTCAAACATGTTCTAGAGATTATGAGTAATATTTTAACTTTGGTACACACTCATATTTTGGAACAATTTCCAAGGACGTACTGACTATAAATGTATCAAGATCTGTAAATATAAAATATAAATCTTCGTTTAAAATTTCCATCGATTTGCGATTTGCCTGCCTGCAAAAAGGTTAATCCACTTGGAACGTTTTCCGTGGTTGTGGACCTTCGTTCCACATCAAACGCATCCTGCCCAACATCAGCGATAGCCCAGTTTGTAAAGCAACGTTGAAGCTCTTGGAAAGACAGCAAATACTAACGCTGTTTGCTCCGGCGACTTGCTTTGAAGAGGACGAAAGCGACCAAGAAGTGAGGCAGCCGATGACGATTGACGACGAACCAGAAGACGAACAGAACGAAACCCTCGTGAACAGTTTATTAGCACAAATATTAAGCCCTTCGCGAAGGCCTTGCAGACAATCGCCCTTTTGCCAACCGGATATGTAATTTTAATGTACAGTAATGAGTCATGCGATATTGTACCTGTCAGTCCTGGATCGTTGTGATGCATTTCCGATGCGAAATGAGATCGATGAGATCAGATAGGTAATATTTAAAAACATGTCAGCTGTGGTGTGGGGAAAATAAGTTTAAACTGCCAAATCTACCAATTTTTTATGTGTGTGTAAAGATAGTGCAAGTGAGAGTCTGCTATTTTACGCGCGTCGAAACACTGTTATTCAAACATAAATATTTCGCGATCTAGATCGAATTTTAAAAATCCCCCCGAGGAAATTAAAGAAGAAAGCATGCTTTAGCAGAATTTGTCAGTTTGGGCGAAAAAAGTTTAATATCGAATGTCAACGAGGGCGTAGAACAAGGTGTTATTTTCTCACTCCTTTTGTTTACATGTTCGAATTTCAGGCATTCTGATTGGTCAAGAACGCAAAATGTAAACAAACGCGCTGATTGGCTAACATTATTTGCCCTTGTTGTTGAAGCCATGAATGCGTAAACATTTTCACAGGATGCATATATTAAAGATCTTCGGAATTAAAATATCCTTGAAAAGCGAAATTTTTTACCCTGGGAATTGAAAATAGGTTCATACAAAAGTATAACTGCACGAAAATCGTTCAATTACATATTAGTGAATGTCAAGCAAATGGCTCAACTGAGCACAGAGCAAAGAGTATTTATTGTCTTAAATTATACGCGAACCCAAAGTCTAGTCGCAGTCCAAAACCTTTTTCGAGAAAGGTTTCCTGATCGGAGTCCACCTGCTAAAACAACAATTTTAAGCAACGTAAGAAAATACACGCTGGATCGAGTCTTAACCTTAATAAAGGTAATTCTGGTAGGAGACGAACCACACGATCTGAGGAAAATGTTGACGCTGTTAGAGCTCTGCTCCAGCAAACACCACGTGCGAGTGCTCGCCGAAATCCTCTTCAAATTTCACGTGCAAGCTTTAACAGAATAACAAGGCTTGACCTGAAATGGCACCCATATCAAATGTTTGTGCGACACCAGTTGTTAGCAGGCGACTTCCCACGCCGGTTACGCTTCTCAGAATGGTTCAATCAACGCTGCCGAGGCGAACATTTCTTGGACAGTCTACTAATAGGAGATGAAGCAGGATTTGCCCTTAATGGTGAAGTGAACTCACATAATAGGGCCATTTATACGGGACAAAATAAGACGCGACTTACATAAGACAAATAAGACGCGAGTTTGTCGTATAAAAGGTACAAAATTCTTACGTAAGACGCGTCTTGGATAAGACGCGTCTTACATAAGAACAGGACTTTTAGCTGTTCTTATTTAAGTCGCGTCTTAAATAAGAAATTTTAGACAAAAATTCTAACTACACATGCCCGAAACTTGAAACAACGTAAAATTATTAGCCTTGCATATTCGAACAAAAACAACCGAAACAACATTATAGCTATAGCAAATAAATAAGAATAAATCCGTAGAGAACCATTTATGCGATAACTCAGCTTATACAAGACGCGTCTTACGTAAGACGCGACTTATTTTCTCCCGTATAAATGGCCCTAATGCTCGTGAATATGCACCTAAAGGACATCCGCCCGTATTCAATTTTGAGAGGAACAATTCCCGTGCCAAACTGACTGTCTGGGCAGGACTCTGCGGAAATGGTTTAATTGTTGGACCTTACATTTTTGAACAAAATGTTAACGGACATTCCTATCTTGCAATGCTTAACGAATTTGTTTTCCCGAATCTCGCTGTGCATTTCAACAATCAATATTGGGAAGGATTGTTTCGGGGTCTTTGGTGGGCACAAGACGGCGCTCCAGCACATCGTCTCATTCAAGTAAGAGATCGGCTGAACGAAGTCTTCGGAAATAACCACATCATAGGGTTAGGTCACAATGTTGAGTGGCCTCCTCGCTCACCGGACTTAACACCGTGTGACTATTTCCTTTGGGGATATCTCAAAGACAAAATCTTTTCCACTCCACCACACGATATTGATGCGTTACGCCAACGAATCATCGAAGAGTTTGATGCTTTACGACAACAGCCTGCCCTCATTAGCCGAGCCGTGCGTGATATGCATAGACGAACAATACTTTGTGTTGAGAGAAATGGGGGCCACGTCGAAGGACGAGGTGCTTAATAATTGTAAAAATAAACAACGTTTTGTTTGACGTACGTATTTTTGTTGCGTTTAAGCCCCGTTTACACTACACTCATTTTTGGCACGGTACTCTTAAATAATGGCACGCGGACCAAATTTTTAGGCACGGCACTCTTAATTTTCGCAGTGTAAACGCAAAATTAAGGGTCCGCGTGCCATAATTGTTTGGCGGGCCGAGACCTCTTCACGGAGGTAGTCTCGGCCCGCTTAAAATATAGCACGCGGCCCTAAAACTAATTACGCATGCGTATTCCTTGAAAAAGAAAACAAGATGGCGTCAAAAACAAACCCTACTTACACTTAATTGTGCTCTATATATCGGATATAGAGTGCTGATAATTAGATAAAAGTCAGCCCTGAATTTATCTAATTCAAGGCACTCTATACTATGATCCCATATTCATGGACGACAAATGAGGGTAACTTAATTATATTACACCCAGATGTTTGAGTGTAGAATCATTCGGAATATGTTATATTGTATGGTCATCAAACTTAGCTTTGAAATATACTGCATACACTACTTCCGTCCCTAAAACTGTACTTATGATTAACTGGTGAAATATTCAGCTAATGCATCACGGATTAGCTCTGCGTCTGGTGCTGGCGTTTCATCAATTGCAATTGGAAGTATTGGTTCCTCGATAAGTACTTCAGCGTCAGCCCAATCAGGAAGAAATTCGAATTCATTTTTAAGAGCTTCGCATATGTTATGTAACACACAGGAGGCCTGTACAACATGTGCCAGAGTACTTACATCCATGTCCACCCGCTTTTTGAATCTGATGTATCTTTCTTTTTCACCTACCAAAGGTGTTTTCTACCTTCATTCGTGCACGACTAAGACGATAGTTAAAAACACGTTGACTTCTTGTTGCCTCGTTCGTAGGGTAGCCCTTTAACACCCATGATAACAGCGGGCGGATAGGCTTGGTCCGCAAGAACTACCGGTGGCATCTCCACTCCACATATTTCCCTATTGAGGTCATCTGGGAAAAGACAGTTATTCCTTCCTTTTGCAAAAATGGCTGAGTTGGAGAAAACCCGCGCATCATGTACGCTTCCTGGCCGACCGATAACTACGTCGCTGAATATATAACTACAATCTACCACAGCCTGCATATAAGGACGCTATGAAACCCCTTACGGTTGACATAATCTGTGTGATTTTTGTTAGGTGCCAATATCGGTATGCGAGTTCCATCTACTGCGCCCATACACATGGGAAAGTTCCATGTCTCTTCATAACCTCGAATGACTCGCAAAAGGTCATCGCCATTAGGGAAGCTGGTAGCATTTGATATTTGGAAACTGCTTTGCTATTGTATGACATACTTCTTTAATGCACTGGCACACAAACGAAACGACCGTGAAACTCCGAATAAGTTGCCAATTGTGCGGTATTCAGCTGTGGATGCTAGATAACACAATGTAACTGCCAGCCGTCGCTTCGCTGAAACTGCTTCTCGAAGATGTGTATTTTCATGAGCTATTTCGGGCTCAACCTTTCTGAGAATAAATGTAAACGTTTCTTTCGTAACTCTGAAGTTAGCATACCATAGCTCGTCGTTGTAGGTGTCGTCCACCATCTCAAACCAGATCTGTGTTCGTGCATGGGTGCATCCACAGTGTTCTAGTTCTTTGTCGATGAAGAAAAGCTAGTACAGTTTCAATAAATTCTTTTTTTACCTTTTCTTTTTATGTTGTGAAGCGCTATTCTACGTACACGGTTATCTTTAAATTTTGCAAAGCGTAAACGTCTCCGTTTTGTCACATAAAAATACCAAACAAGTGCCGAGTTTGCTGTTTTTACATCCTCCATGCATTTTTTAAAATGCCCGCGAATTTTACTTTAAGAGTTTAACCGCTGAAGTTTGCTTTAAGGGCGCAGTATTTAAGCGGGCCGTATTCAAGAGTAGGGGTGCTAGTGCGTCTTGATGGCCCGCCAAAATTTGTAGTGTAAACGATGCTGATTTTTCAAGAAAATGGTCCGCGTGCCATTATTTAAGAGTGCCGTGCCAAAAATTAGTGTAGTGTAAACGGGGCTTGAACAAAACCAGAAACTTTTCAATAACTTCTCAAGCATAAAATTCCATTCAAATTGTTCATGCACCCATGAGTTCAAGATAGCACTCAGGCATTCAAATTAGAACAATGGTGAATTTCCAAGGGTAGCGGTTTTTTTGAGACACCCTGTATAGTTGGTGCATGACTTGAGCGGCGTACAAGCGGCAGTGTCAGGTTCTGCCAAAATGAAACTCAAGTGACATGTGTCAGATTTACTCGTTAATTATTTCGGGTACATATATAAGTGGAGTGGCGTTAGAAATTTACATTAATTCTTTATTCATGATATATAATCACATTCTCATGCACCATCTGACCATCCTCTTTTGTTAATGTGTTATTGTTCTTATAGTTCTTATTGTTAACGTCAATTACAACAGCTGCTTTATGATTATATTTAGTATTCGACAATGGGAAATTCACTGAAAGAGTTGCTACGTCAAGAAATGAACTTGGATGATTTGAACAAAAAAGTGTGTCAGGCAGAGGTGAAAGCTGCTAAGTTAAAGAAACAGGTTAGAAAACCGATTAATTAACGTCTTATGTGGACTCGGTCATTGTAGTGATAATAATTAAACAAACATGCAGGTGAAGGATGAAAAAGCCGGAAAGGGGGGTCTTTTCAATGGGGCATTGCCCCTACACAAGTAATCGGTATAAAATATTGTATATTAAAGAGAGTGCACAATTGAAGTATCTGCTTAATTTTTGATGCTGAGTTTCTGGTGAAAATATAACAACATTCGACTTTTAAATCGTCGATGAAAGGTAGGGTATATAGGGTGGGGAGAGGGGCGAAATTGTTGCCGCGTTGGCTTTAGTATAGCCATTGTCTTGTGCGGGTGTTGGTGTAATTTGTCGCCTGCTTTCAAAACTCGCGGAACTCGTCACCCTGCAGTCACCTGTTAGCTTGTAGTGTAAGGTAGCTGGCTTCAAATATAATAATTAAAAGCTACAACTCAGTGTTTCATAGGCAAGAATACCGTCGCCTGATCGCGGGCTTTAGAGAGCTTTAGGTTTGCTTATGAGTACGACCACGATTATACGTATATGAGTCGTTTGTTAGCTATGATGACAACAAATTCCATTGTAAAGTGAGGTGACTGGCGCGGCAATATAGAGTCTTGCTTTGCATGCTCATGCATTGTCGTACTTGTATAGTCCAATCTAAAGCTCTCTATTTGACGGGTCAATTAAAAAACGCTGGCTTATGTAGTTATGGGTTAAATACAGTAGTGTGCATGATGAAGTTCAATAGACGTTTCCCCTTTTAGCAGCACGCGCGCAAAGCATCCCGGTAGTTGATTATCAAAGTCAATTTGAGTTGTCATGGCGAAGTGTTCGGGAGCGATGTTTTCCTGAAGGAAATCTTGTCGATTTTCCGCCTGTTTTATCTAACCTTAAAGGATAAAAACCGTGTCTTGAGAAAATCATAACTCCTTACTATATGTAGACGGAAAGGTAAAGGAATCGGGGTTTGTTTTAGTGAGAAAAACGGTTTTTTAATCACCAAGGAGCGACAGTTTATTCGACGAAAATGGCCTTCGAATCTAGGTTCCTTTCACTTGCAGTCGGTGAGTTATGGTATTATGTAGCGATCAAAAGATCATTTTGATATGTCAACAGTCCCCTACATTCTGTCTTTCAGTATGAATAATTTTAGACTCGCTTACTCATTTTCTCGTACATTTTTTGTTCCTTAAATACGGCATGCGCTTTCAACTTTTCGGCTTGCGCTTTCAACTTTTCGGCTTTCATTTTATACATATCTAGGCTTGCTTGTAGTTGTTTGGCTTTGCCTATTTTGGCGCAAAAATTACAAACATTTGCAGCCAATGTTGCAGTTTTAGTCTACGGCCGTCATATTTTCGCTTGTTTTCTGGAGTTTTGCTTGTTTTTGTCTTGCAAACCTTTGTAAAGTCTTGGTTGTTATCTTCTTGTATTTGCCAGAATTAAAGTAGGTTCTGAAATTGTTCTAAAATTCGAAAATAATTTTATTTTTGGTCACAAAAAAATTAAAACATAAATTGTTTATAAAAATGTAGGTGACTTTTACAGGTAGAATTTTTCAAATTGAAATAGGGAATTAATACAGTACATTAATAATATAAATACAGTTAAGTTTGATATTAAGTAGTAAAATATACTGTATCTATAAAAATATACAGTTATAATTAATAATAGGACATAATTCATAAATAAATATATCTGGCAAAATGGAGATGAACCTAGCACCTCAAAGAATGCAAACAATACTCAAACTATGCTAGAATAAATAAATTCTGTGAGCTAAACAAAGCATGGCAAGCCTAGGTTATTATCTCGTCAACAAGAATTGTTTATGGTGCCAAGCTGAATGCACTGTGGGTTGTTGGTGGAGGTTGTGGCACACAGATTTGCTTTGTCCACTTCACACGTGTCACAAATTTGGATAACATGGATTAAATTTTACATCAAAGATTACTTGCCCTACCAATTTGGCCAAGCCGAGAGTTTGTTGACACAAATATCCTGGGATGTTTCAGAAAAAATTATCCCACAACCAGAGTAGTTCTAGATTGCATGGAGCTCTTTATTGAACGTCCATCTTCATGCAGGGACCAGTCTGCTACATTTTCTTCATATAAAAACCAGGGATGGATTTACTGTGTGTGTGTGGGGGGGGGGTGCACACCCTATCCCTGGCCAGAGGGGGTGATATTTTTCATGATAAAGCAAAAAATAATAGACAAAATGAGATACAGTAATTTGAGCAATAACATGATGATACAATTACAAATTATTCACATACAGTATGTTGGTGAGCGGGCGACACACATGACCGACACAACTGGTCACCAGAGCCGGCAGAGCACTGCCCCCCCCCCCCCTCCTACCAGATCATTCTGCATCCAATAACACCTGCAAAAGACCTGGATAAAATTTGGGCAATTTGCACTTATTTTTACCTCAATTAATTGTTGAACAGAAGTAAACACACACATTGTTATTAGTTTGATAGGGCTTTGTTAGCACATCATGAAAAGTAATTTCAAGCCTTTAATTAAACACAGCTTCATAAGTTTCGACGTTAAGGTTTTAGTAATATGACATTGTACAGTATTTGTCTAAGTGATGATTCTGTTTGAAACAGATGTGCACTATATACATGACTATAATTCTGCATGTTTACTAAGTTTAATAACATAATTATTTATTTTTGAAACAGATACTCAAAGCACTGTAATACTCAACATGCATGAAACCCTTATTTTTTTACCAATATCTGTAAAATTTAGGTCTATAAATTCTATTCAATTCCCTCTGGAAGCCCTGGAAGCTACTTAATAACTCTACATTCTATCATTTAAAATCTTTCAGTGCCCAGCCAATCCAGATGATTTGCCCTGCCAATCCAGATGATTTGTACTTTGGGGGCTGTCACCCCCCCCCCCCCCCCCCCCCCCCCCCCCC